AAAAGAAATGTTAAGAATAATTTAAAATTTTAAACACATAAATATATGATGGTAATTTAGATATTCAACTATGGAAGAATAATGTTATTTTTAAAATTCTTTATAAGAGTAAAATAGTGAATCAAATAATTTTTATTCTAAAATACTTTTATTAGTAGTATAGATATAACTTATTACTAGTCTATATGAAAATGGAAAAAAAAATAAATATATATAGACATAATATTATTTTTTTATTTGAAAAGAGTAATAACCTATTAATAGATTTTTGGAATACGTTATTGAAAACTATAATGATACATATATTTTTTTAAAAGTTGCATACTCAATTAAAAATTTTCATAGATATTGATATTTATACAAAGATAATAAAAAATTTAAAAAGATGTTAGAAGGTAATTTGAAGATTTAAATACATAAAATTGTGACTGTAATTTATATATTTAACTATGAAAGAATAATATGATATTTAAAATTTTTTATAAAAATAAAATAATGAATTAAAAGATTTTCACTTAACGCACTCCATTAGTACTATAGATACGAATTAGAATGTTTGTAAACCTGGTTATTTTTATTTTGACGATGACAACTAAGTTTGAAGCATAAATAGAAAGATCAAAGTAGGAATGTTGGTATTTTAAGTGTTATTTTGTGTGATGCAATCATTAATTAGACTCACTACATTATTTTTTTAATTTCAAATTAAGGAGTCATCACATTATTTTGCAAATCTATATCTATACTACTAATAAAAATATCTTAACATGAAAATTTTTTGAATTTCTATTTTACCTTATAAAAAATTATAAATATCATTATATACTTTTACAATTAAATATCAAAATTATCATCATATCCTTACATATTTAAATCTTTAAATTATCTCTAAAATCTCTTTTAATTATCTATTCTTTATGTATAAATATCAATTTTTATAAAACAATTTAATTGACTATATTATCCTTAAAAAGTATGCATCATTAAAAACTTTATTAATCTAATATTATTCAGCTCATATGCAAAGATAATATTATTCGTATTTTTTTTTATCAAAAAATTTATCTCTTTTATTTCTAAAATAAAAAATAATTGTATATGTAATATTTTAAAATTAATTTATGTTACATCAATATAATTCTCCAGTAACAATAAATTTTTTAAGTTATGTTAAGAGTTTGTGTGAAAATAGATATAGTAGTTTATTTTTAAGTAAAATTTGAATTTTGTAGAATTTTAATATTGTTGATAATGTATATTATCGAATAATATATTAAACTTTATCCCAATTCACTTAACTAATTTCTAATTACAGTAAGGTTATAATATGATTAGCATATTGATAATTATTTTTATTTTATTCAAGAAATTATAAGTGAAATTATAATTAAATAAATTTCAAAAAATTTAATTTCTCGAACATCACTTAAAAATCAATCTAAATTACAAAATTCTAAAAATAGAACTTCAATTATTTATTTATTTTTTTTTTATCTTTTTTCTTATAATTAAAAAAAGAATTATGGGAACATATAAAGTTTTTATAATCCCATAACAGAATCTGAACAATAAAAAATTAAATTAAATATAATATTTAATTTAAATACACATATAACTAATATTTTATTATTTTTGTGTATAAAAATTATTCACGTTCAATGCAAGTAGTGCATTGCTAGTATGACAAAATAAAGTTGGAGATTTTTTCATCAACTTTTTTTTTTCTTCGTCGATAACCATAAAAAAAAATTGAGGAATTTGTGAATTTTGTATAATTATTTGCTGATCAGGACTAAACATGAAAGAATTAGGCCAATTGCAGCCCGCTGTTGGATTGTTAGGTTACGGTTGTGAATTTCAATAGCCCCTCCCCAGTAAAAGTTTCAATGGTGAGAAAAAAAAGTTGGAAGCATGATAAATGAGTAGAATAATTAGAAAATGAAACGTGTAATTGAAGTGCTAAACAACTTCGAAGTAGGTGCATGCCAAACAAGATTTTTAGCCTGTTATTGACGACCTAAAGATACATATTAAGAAAACCGAGTTGACTTAAAATCTTTGGAATTCATTCTTATACTTTAATTTTTGCACCTGCCTCTGCTTCTGAGAGAGAGAGAGAGAGAGAGAGAGAGAGAGAGAGAGAGAGAGAGAGAGAGAACATGCAATCTTACAGTACTCGGGCATATTTACATATTTAAAAATTGCATGTTTGACTGAATAACTGGAAAACAAGCTATTTTGTAAATGTATACTAATCCCCTGTAAAAAAGTTCAAGGTAAATTACACTCATATTCTTTGATATTTGATTTTATTATGTGGATATCCCCTCACGTTTCAACAATTACACTAAGACCCCATTAGTTGGACGGAGTTAACTATTTTAATAAAAAGACTATTTTACCCTTCTGTTTAACGCAAACTCAAACCCCAAGCCCTATCTCTAACCCTAATCTTTGCCTCCTCTACATTAGTAATCCCAATGCTTTCTCTCTCTCTCGGCGAAGAACTAACCTGAAAATCATCAGTCTTCTCTCTCTTTCCCTCAGCCCATCTCTGTGTGTACGTATATATATATATATATACACATACATATATACATACACACAGACAGAGAGAGGGAAACCCCTGGTTGAAATCACAAAAAAATAGACGAAAAATTGTCAGCAACTCTCAACCATTACAACACCCTCCAGTAGCCACCCTTATCCAAAACGTCACCCCCAACACCACTTTCCACTAGCGTCCACCACCCACAACCACCAACCCCACTTCCCACAAGTGTCTGTCACCCACAACCACCAACGCCACTTCTCACTAGTGTCTGTCGTCTACAATCACACACCACCAACACCACAACAAAGCAATCACTGCCAAAAGCCCAAAAAACTCAAAACCCGAACCCACCTCCTCAAGGCACACTCAAACACCTTAAAATCGAAAACTTATCTCAATTACCCACCACTTTTAGCCATAAGAATTGCATAGAGAAAGATAGAGAGAGATAGATTTCTTTCAATATTCCAGATATGAGTTCTTCATGGAGCAGAGAGAGTTTTTAAATTTTTGAGATCTATGTTTTTTTAATTTTCAAATCTGAGTTCTTCACAATCGAAGGGGGCGTTATACTGTCCATTAGCCACATACATAGAGACAGAGAATCTTAGGCGGTGGGAAGGAGGGGAGGGGTTTGTTCTGGATGTTGCATAGGGTTTTGTTTCCGGGTTGTGGACTCGCGATGCTTGATGGGTTTCACTAGAAGGTGGGTTGTGGCGTTGGAGATTGATGGTTTGGTGGGTTTGTGTTGTAGATTTGGGGACAAATTGGGTGGGTTTGTGTGGTGAATTTCACTGGTGGTGGAGGCGGCAATTGGTGGTACATGGTGATGTTGTTAATAGTGTTAATTTTGTATAAATCATAATTAAATTTGTGGGCCAAATTTAAATTAATGAATGAAATTAACTATAATTAAAAGAATTTTAGAGATAAATTACCTTACTTAGTAGATTGGTTTGATTTAATTAAATTTTTTATGACAAATTTGATAGAGATTGTTAATCTCAATGTTATAAGGGTAAAAAGGTCTTTTTAATGAAATAATTAACATCTATCATACAAAAGGAGGGCGGTTGTCACAAGTGTTCAAACGTTAAGGGGTTTCAGTGTTATTTTTGAAATGTAAGGGGTGTTTGTATAATAGAATCAAACATAAGGGAGTGCGAGTGTAATTTACCCAAAGTTCAAAATGTTGGTACTGATTAAAAAAACAACACAGTGGCTTAGTACCTACCCTACCCTTTCTACTTTCCACTGGTTTTTGTGAGTACCAGGTTGAGGAGGGAGACTAGGAGAGTTACCCAAGTTGACGAAAATTCTTCATTGCTGACTTGGAGAGAGAGAGAGAGAGAGAGAGAGAGAGAGAGAGAGAGAGAGAGAGTGCCTCTGGAAAACAGGGGACGCGTTAAGTGCTTGTAAAATTTGACACGTAATACCAGCTTGAGTAGTTATTGCTTTTTTTTTTTTTTCAAAATTTAACTAAATTCTTTTTTACTTGTAACTATTGGTACGATCTTTTGACCACGTATTCTTACCCCCGTATATAGGATATAGTCTAGGCAGAACAAATGACGTAGTTAATTAAGAAATATCATGTTCAATCTCGTTCGATTTTAAGGATTGATTACATTTATCTTTGAATATGTTCTAACTCAACTCAGATCACAACGCAATATTTGAATGAGTGGTTTGTATAAGTCTGAACACTCTATAATAAAAAAACAAAAAAAAAAGAGAGGAAATAAGTAATTGAGAAAGATATTATATACATATTACTCATAATGTTACATGAATTTTATTTTGTAATTTTATTTTGTAATTTTTTTATTTTTTATTATTAGATTGACAATAAATTTTATTATTAATTGAGACTCATTATTAATTTAATAATAATAATCCATCATGTTACCAAACAAAGTTATTAAATTATGTATAAATAATATTTCCGAACAATACGTAAACATACGGTGAAACGGTATAGTGCTTACATGTTTTGTAACTCCATACTCTTCTTCCACTTGTCAAAATAAAAATGTCTGCGAGAACAATTGAATATTGAACTCTATTTGATTATTATTATTATTATTTTGAGCAGGAAACTCTATTTGAATTCAATTAAAAAAACTTTTATTAAAGAAAAGTAAGCAGAAAAAAAAAAAACGTGTCAAAAAGAAAGAATTTTCTATAGAATCTCGATCCAATAGGTGGGTCCCATATGTCCCATTTGTAAAGTATGCTTCTCTATGCAATATGTGTTTGTCCTTTTTCTCAATTCCAAGTGATAGGGACACATATTCTTGTAATTGTTCATTTGTAATCTTTAAATTTCATTTAATTTTATTTTATAAAATATATTATCCATCAATACACAATAAATAATTTAATATCAAAAATACTAATATTAACTATACCAAAAAATATTATATTTTATGATTTATTTGGCACGATGGTGAAAAGGTAAGAAAAATGCATTTTTTTTTATAAGAAGAGAAACGAATCCATCAATTTCATCACAATGCCTTTTATTATTTGCATGCATCAACTTCTTCTTGTGTTCTCTTCCATTTCTACTAATATTGATTAACTTTGTTGTAAAAAAAGAAAAAAGAAAAAAGATCAATAAATTATTACTTTTCTCTACAAATATCCATTAAGTCTTTTCGTCTTTGTTTTTATATCAATGAAGTCTTATTTTTAATATTTTATTTTAATTAAGTCTTAATTCCCTTATATTCTAATTGTATTCTTACCTTTTAGTTACCAAAGCTTTTTCTTTTTTTTTTTTTGGCATTCTTAGAATCAATTAATAGAATATTCTAGATTCTACGTCTATATTAATTTAAGTTAATTCTTACTAAAATCATATTCTATTAATTTATATTGAATTTAAAATAATTAAGTTATGGGTTTATTTTAATTGTTGTGTTTGAATCAATAATGACATTAAAAAGGAATTAATCGACAAATAGTATCGATGTATTTTTTTAGTCTTTCTTATTTTATTAAATAATCGGTAAATATTGTCTTAAATTTTAAGATTAGGTAGATAAGAAAATAAGAAAATGTGAGTTTTTTTTTGGTCCTACAATAAAATTTATGTTAGCTAAGTTTTTTTTGTGGTGTTTTGATATTAATTTTGTAAGTAATGAATTTTTGTCCTCTTAATTAGTTTTAAGAATATAAAAGAATGAAAAAGTTTTGTTATCTAAAAGGTAAGGGTAAAATTAAAATATAATAGAATTTAGGAGAAAAAAATAATATTTATTGATAATTTTCTCAAGAAAAAATCTCAAGAGATTAGTTGAAGTAGTAGTCGATCACTTGATAGATATTTTAAGTTGTCATTAGTCAAAGATTCGATACTCCACGAGAAGAAAATGCTACTTGAAGTTACTTCCCCTAAATTAAACTCATAAGTGTAGAAAAGAGACTTTATGCGTGGACCCAAATTAATTACCACACATAGGTCCAAATTGACTCAATTGAAGAACCCGGGGGGGGGGGGGGGGGGGNGGGGGGGGGGGGGGGGGGGGGGGGGGGGGGGGGGGGGGGGGGGGGGGGGGGGGGGGGGGGGGGGGGGGGGGGGGGGGGGGGGGGGGGGGGGGGGGGGGGGGGGGGGGGGGGGGGGGGGGGGGGGGGGGGGGGGGGGGGGGGGGGGGGGGGGGGGGGGGGGGGGGGGGGGGAAAAAAAAAAAAAAGAAAGGGGGGGGGGGGGGGGGGGGGGGGGGGGGGGGGGGTTACCTGGATTGAATTAGACCTATCAGTAGAGATAAACAAGAGCAATATTATTAGAATTTAATTTATTGATATAATTTATTAACTTAGTTTACTATGCTTTAGATTGATTGTAAGTTTTATCAAATATTAAAATTTGATATTAATTCAATAATTTTTATATAATTATATCATTATATAAATAAATTAAATCAAAATTTAAAATTTAAATAACATAATTCAACAAACAAAACAAATGCACTTTGGCCTTTTGGACCACAAAAAAGACAAGACAAACGTGCTTTATCTATTTTGAAAACATAGCACCGCGTAGTCTTACCTATGTAATCTACTCCCAAATCTATAAGCCAGGTGTACATCTTCACGCTGCCTCTAACACGCCCCGTTGACTACCTCCACCCCTCGCTCTCAGCAGTCAGCACTCTCACTCCCCTCCCCCACATATATACAGAGCCGCCAATTCTCATTCTTCATCCCCAGACACAAAACACTTTGTAATACAGCGCCATTAACACCAACAAAGAATCAAAACCACTTGTTTGTTGGTTACCCATCATTCTCAACCTGGTCTTATCAATCACCGGAGCCACAAAAAAAAAAAAACAAAACTTCGCGTCATTTATGGTGAAACCGGAGTCGGAAAAACCAGCTGAGACAAGTGAGTCCAAATACAAAGGTGTGAGGAAGAGAAAATGGGGCAAATATGTGTCCGAAATTCGGCTACCCAACAGCCGGGAAAGGATTTGGTTAGGTTCTTACGACACGCCGGAGAAGGCCGCCAGAGCTTTCGATGCCGCGCTTTTTTGCTTACGTGGCCCGACGGCGCAGTTCAACTTTCCTGATAACCCACCCGACATTGTCGGCGGCCGGTCACTTACACCCGCTGAAATTCAAGTCGCAGCGGCCCGTTTAGCAAATTCGGAGGCCCGAATTAGTCAATCGAACAATTCATCTTCATTTTCTGAAGTGCAGATGGAGTCTCAGTCTCAATCTCCATCTCCATCAATTTCGGATGGAGCACTTCAGGTGGATAATGAGAGGGCCATGGATCTGGACCAGACATTTTTGGACCATTACTCGACGTTGGGTCCAGAGAATAATGTAGCAGATTTCGGTATTTTTCCGGGTTTTGATGATCTCTCCGGTGATTTTTGCATGCCACCATTACCAAACGTTGATTATGGAGAAGAGAACAATGATGGGTTCTCTTCGCAGGGAGGTTCATTTCTCTGGAATTTTTAGTGATATGTCTATTTGGGTCTTATTAGTTTTGCCAAAAAAGGGTCAGAATTCTGGAAAATTTTAGGTGCTAGAATTACTGACAATTTTTCACAAGGAAATGCCTATTATGGTCCACATTTTTTGTACGGACATCTTTTTCTTTTGTTCATATTCCTTTTTAAGGGTACAAACTAGAAATTCAATAGTATAAAAAGATTGAATAATTTTTGGTGTTGTTTATCAGATGAAATCAATACAAATATAGTATTGTTCTAATTGTTTCTCTGCTAAATTTGTTAATACATCCAGTGATTCACATCTCATTATTGACAAGAAAGAATAATGAAAGAGAAATGTGAGCGGGTAGAACGTGTTATATATATAATCAAGTTATTGGCATACATTTTATTGTGATTTTTCTTGCTCCTTGAATAATACTCTACATTTTGTAGGTGAGCACCAAGCCATCTTTTGTGGAAAATATATGCTACTGTACTGCCAAACGTTAGTATTTTAAATAAGATCACTAAACCTTCAAAATTTTTTCCATCCGCGACTTCTCCGTTGTGTTGAGCATGGCATATTTATTTATTTATTTATAGTGCCGGGGGAGGGATATGGGCATTGCTGTGATTCAGCTACAAAATTATTGGCATGCAAGGTTAACTACCCAAAAAAAATTGGTTTTCTTCCTCCATTTTTTGAGGTCAGATATTCTCACTAAAGAATGTCCGCGCCATTGTTTAATTATGTATTCTAATTTTTTTTCTTCTAACCAATCACACTATATAACATATTTATATTTATTATATTATATTTGATATATCAAGTCCATTTAACATAAAATATTTCAAAAAAAAATAATATGTATATTGCCATGGACAGAGCCATGAATATTTATAATAGAGACAAAATATAACTACTCTAAAAAAATATTAAGCTGAAATTAATAAAAAAAAAAAAAAGTAAGAATCAATACTAAATTATTGTGAAATAACAAATTCAATTTTTATTTAGCCGAAACAAAATCTTAACAAAAAGGTAAAATAATTTTTTTAGTACATTTTAATCTAGTTATATATTTCAATAAAATATAAAATTTTGTATATGAATTAAATGTAAATTAATTTTTCACTAATCCAAAACTAACATATTTATTTTAGAGAGTTAGTGGTCCACTAATTTATTAAAAAAAAAAAAGACTAGAACCATTATTAAAATTTTCAAAAAATTAGGGAGTAAATATAATGTATAAAATAATTTTATATGTTGGTGCAAGAAATAACAAAAAAACTCAAGGAACTGAGCTTCTCGTATATTAAGCTTTTCTCTATTTCTTCTCTTTTTATTGTGGCTGAGCAGTGGGCAACTGAGAGCGAGTGATACAAAGAGAAAAAAAAATAAGATAGGTTTTAGTCAAGTGAGCTAAAAGTTTTGTCTTTTAATGATGGTGGGCCAAAAATTTGTTTTAAATGTTGGATTAAAAGTTTTGTGTTTTTAATAGATTTGGGTAAATTGTGATAGGTCAAATATTTAATTTTTTAATAAATTTGGGTAGATAATAGTGAGTTCAATTTTTTTTTTATTTTAAATGAACTTAAATTTTTAATTATTTTGGATAAATAATATGGGTCTAATATAAATGAATAAGACACACTTAATATCTGTGTATAAATATATAATATATATATCTAACTAATAAAAAAAAAATTATTTGAGGGAGGCACGTGCCCACCGTGGCCCTTACCTCCCTCCGCCTATGTCAAGGGTTCAAGTTTTTATTTTCTCTCTCCCATTCATTTTTTTTTTCCCATTCATTTATCCTACCAAACAGACAATTAATGTCGTGACCCTCATTTATTCTCAAATTCGTATTTAATACAAAATATTGCGTTCTAGTTCAGTTGTTTTATAATATTGAGATTTTAGTTCATTGTATTTTCTATTTGATTTGGTCTCTTTTATTCTTAATATCTGGTTATCAGTATATATACACAATTTTATTCTCAATAATATAGTTCAGAATTTCTGTCCTTTATCTTCCCAATGGATTTTATAGTTCTAGTTACTATTCAGTTGGCTCCATTTCGTCATTTTGCTTTTTGGTCCCATGTTTTTTCCTTATTTGAGGATAGAACCTATGCGTGCAAGATCCTGCACAATATAAAAAACGAGAACAAATCTCTCCCTTGGTGAACTTCGAGTGAGTCAGTTGAGTGACCAACCACGCTGCTTGAAACAGCCTGCGAGGTCCGGTGGTAACCTGGAACGGCAACGAGAGACCCTGGGGGAGCGGAAGAACGATCCAGTAAGACTGAAAGAGGTTCCTGGAACAAAGAAGAACAAGTTAGAAGGGCGCCGGAGTGTTTTCCGGCAAATCCCCTCCGACGATCTAGTCAGTCTTTGAGAGAGAGAGAGAGGAAGGAGAAAACACTGAGTGTGTATTGTAGTAAAGAGTTTTTTATTGCATACCCGTCTTGCCTTTTGCAAGGAGTATTTATACCTCAAAAGCTCATGATTGCTGTCAGTATAATCAGTAGGTGATCATTAGGTACAGGCAGTGTGCGCACTGATTCTGATGAGGAATGTCTTCTCTTCTTAACTGCTCGGGGTCCCGAGCAATCAATGCTGGGTCATCGGAATGCCGACGGTACAATGTACTCCTCTCGGGGAGGATGCAATAAATGCTCTGTATTAGGAGCATTTATTGCCTTTCATTTCTGAGCCTTACCGCATTGAATGCGGTCTCATCAAGGGAATGATGTAATTAATAGTTTGCTTTCCCAAGTCGCGTGTCAGCAACGGCATGCGGTTTATCTGTCTTCGATGTGATATCATATGCCACGCATCCATCCCCTATTGGCTGTGACCCCTGCATTGCAGTACGTTCTGACACTAACTGTGTAAGACGAGGTCATGATGAATAGCCTAGGCTAATGACCTGTACGTCAATAGCTTATCCTGGATTAGAGGAGGCGTCCAGGACAGGGTACACCTCGGCACCGAGGAAAGGCTCATCTCGGAACCGAGGGAGGGATACCGACCGAGGTACCATATCATACCGAGGCCACGTGTTGGTTGTAAAACGTACTGAATGCCATGATCCTATATGACGAGTACCTCGGGGGCGAGGACCTTTATGCGCCGATGGTGCTTGATCTTATCAACAATGTTTTAGTAATACCGAGGACACGTGTCTTCATCATAGAGTATTTCAGAAAAGTCCCATCAGAAGCCTTAAACTTCCGAAGTGCTAGTCCCGATAAAGATTCGTTTCAAATTGATTAAAATTTATGTTTTTTTTATTAAAATTCAATTTAAGTTGATTAAACTTTATTTTTTAGGTATTAAAATTTGAGTCTATTAAAATTTATATTTTTTATGTATAAAAAATTGGGCCGATTAAAATTTAATACGAGTTAATTAAAATTTGATTTAAGCCTTAAATATATTTTAATTAACTCCAATGTTAATGCGTAAAAAAATTTAAAAAATAGAGGGGATCTCGTTAAAAATATATCTATCTAGAAAGAGTGTTGATAAATTTTTTTTAAAAATATATCATGAGCAATTTATTAGAATTGTTTTTTAATTAACACCTTTGATTTGAAAGGAGTGTTGGTGAAGATTCAAAAAATAAAGAAAACGTCATTAAAAATATGATAAACTAAAAAAGTTATGGCTGAAATTTTTCCTATTATATTTCTTCGCATTAAAGTTGAATAACACTTTGCAATCTAAAATATCTTTAAATGTTTTCTGAAAAAGTTAATTTTTCTCGTTGTACTCTCAACCATATAAATGTGATTCAAAACCAAATATTTGTTTTTTTGTTGGACCCTTTTTTTATATATTTCATATTTGTTATTTGTATACACAATTATTCATATAATATTCAACTGGAGGGTTTTTCATATAAAAAATTTGTACCCAATTTACTAAACCATACCATTTTACTATGTTTTTATATGATTAAAAGTATAGTATAACATTTGTAATGTTTTAAAATATAAACAAATTGTAAAATATTTTGGAAACAAAATATCATTTGTTGCCATACTAAAGAACAATATTATAGAGATCTAATTTAAAAACATAATGAAGAAAGGCCTAAAACCATCTCCAATAAAAACCTAAATCTTTACCCAAATTTGAGTAAAAAAAAAGGTAAATAAAACTTGATTTGATACAAACCACTCTAATAGAGAACTCAAATTTAAAGAAATTGAAACTCAAATTCAAATGAGAACAAACCCAAATTTAAATAAGAATAAAATATGACCATTGAATTTTAAAGGATAATGAAATCTCTCCATTAAAGATTTGGATATGGATTTTAGTCTCCCTTAATTTGAGTAAAAAAAAAATCTCTTTTCATGTGATATAAGTATTGGTCTAACAATGGAGAAGATTTTTAAGAATTTTTTACTCAAATTTAAAATTGGGTTTAAAAAAAAGTAAGAATTAGAGATGCTCTAATTACTACAATTATTAGATTAATCGTGAATTCTAATGTTAAATGAGATTTATTTCAATTCAACAACTATAATTAATTAACATCTTAGATTAAATCTCTAAATTAATTTTGGAAAAACATTTTTCTCACACTAAAACTCCATTTTAGATAAGAGTTCTAAAGTACTGTGAACACGCTTGGTTGTGAAATGTACATAGAAAATATTAGAGTCGTTTGGATGCAATATTAAATGGTGGATTTTATAGTCATAACAAACTAAGATTCTTTAATTTAATCTTATACTACGTTGGTTACAAAATTTTTTTTATATCATATATAGTTTTATTTCAAATATTTATCCAAATAATACACTGTTTATCCAAATAATATACTCTATCCATAGTATTTTATTTTATTTTTTATGAAACAAACAGGTCAAAAACATTTCGTTAAGTAGGAAAGTTGAGATTACAATCAATTAAAAAAAAATCCTTAAGTTCAAGAGGGGAGGGGAGGGAAGCCTGTCCAACTCCATAAAATCAAAATGTTTAACATAACGGCTACTACCCAATGAACAGTCTTGTTGCAGGCTCTCTAAGCTTGTGTAAAAAAATTAAACTTGTATAACTTAGCATAATATCTAATATTTTCAACAATAAAACTAATTTTCCATAGAGGAATATCCTTATTGGAGCTAAGTTTGATGATATTAATGCAGTCATTCATGATGGTAACGTTTGTCATCAAAAGCGCTTCAACAAGGAGACATGTTTGACACACTGCCTTTGCTTTAGAGAACAAGCGTATAATTGACTATCATTGAGCCGATTATAATATCACATGCAAAGGTGATATTATAGTCTAATTCAAGTGTATTAAATTATAATTTATTATTTTATCCAATAGATAAACAAGAATATTAATAACTATATAAGATTGATGATTTTTTAGTTAAATATAATTATTATTTTATTATCTCATTCTTAAATCAGTGTCTTACCAAATACTAGATTATAATGTGTAATATTTGTGTCTCATATTTAACCTTATGTTTTATTCGCTTATGTATAATTAGTCTGCATTACTTAATACAATTTATTTTTTTACAATATGACAACCAAACGAACTGATTGGGTATAATGATATGTTTAGTAAGAGGAATAGAAAATAAGAGTAATGGAAAAAAATGAGAGATGCATTTTTAATCTTTTAAGGAAGGAAATATATTTTTTTCTCTTTCTTGTTTAATAGAAGGGATGTAAAAGTAGAGAAAATAAATTTTTATTAGTATGAGAAAAGTTAAAAAAAAAATACAACTTTTAATTTACATGAATACCCTTGTGATTGTAGAAAATATAGAATAAAAATATTTCATAAGTCGCACCATTATGTTGGTTTGTCTTGGTAAACAAAATTGGACCCCACCACTTCTATTTTCTTCATTCAAAACAGCTGCCACTTTTAAGGGGTATTGTAATAAATTTAATAAGTGTGATCATTTGCTGGCACTTCCACTTTCATTTTTCCTCCAAATTTGGGCGGATTGCAAATGGAGGGCCGGAAGTGGGGCGTTAAATATCTGACTCGTTTAACCTGTTTAATTTTAAAAAAATTATATCAACAAATTTTAATACATTATTTTTTTACTGTCCATGTATTTATCTAAAAAAAGGAGAATTTATAGTCAAATTTCACATAAAAATTAAATTTGAAGGCAAAAGAAAAAAAAAATAGGGGTCATTGCCTTTTATAGGTAAGGGAGCTCTCCCCATCTCCCTCATTTGTCGATGTGGGACAAAAACAAAAAGAGTTGATTTGCCTTTATCATGAACTGCTCTCATCTCCCCTCCTTTGTCTTTGAATTACTATTTTACTTATTTTTTTTTTAGTATTGATTTTTTTATTTTTTTTTGGCTAATTTTTTAAAATAATTATTAATTTTTTATAAGCGGGTAAACGTGTGACAAACAATTTGACAAACTTTACCCAAACACGACCTGTTTATTAAACGTGTCTGGCAGGTCAACCTCGTTTATCATATAAACCCGTTAAGATCTTACCTAAACCCGTTTAATTTGTGTTAATTAATTGTGTTGTGTCAAATTTTGACAGACCTAACCTAACGGGAGGTGTAACTTTTTTATCCTTTTTATCCTATTTTTCTTTTCTCTTGATTTGCTATTCCAGCCAAACAAAGAAAAGTCTCTCTTTTCCCTCCACTTGCTCTCCATCTATTTTCATCCATCAAATATTCTCTTGTTTGTGGTTATGGTTATATTCCACTGTGTGATTATTATTATTTGATATAACTGTATAATATTATATAAATAAGTGGACAATGTAACTCATTTTTTTAGACGGTGATTATTATCCTACATGAAAAGTTGATTATTCAATTGGGTGAGATCCACCTTTTTCATGTGGTGCTCAATATTTACTCGGACAGGGGAGACCTTCTAGATTAAGGGTCAATAACCTTCGCGCATAAAAGCGGAACCTTCTAGCACCATCCACGTGTACACCTAAGCATAATTCAGAGACATCAGGCACACGTGTAACTCCCCCATAAATTCTAATTCCGCATCAAGGGCTCATACTGCACCACCTGGCGTCCCGTCAATATTTCCATCCAAGAGCTAAGAGATAACTTTCCAGTCAAACGAAGCACTTACGTTGGCGACCCAAAACGAGCCCACGTGAAACCCGAGCCACTGTAAATACATATACTTATGGTAGTCCTGGCTCCTGGGCAGCAACTGGCAAGAGAGAGATTTCAACGCAAGGGCAAAGTTGTTACGTTACATAAATTCATGAACACAGTGAAATCAGAAGCTAGAAGAGAGAGAAGAAACAACGTCAATAACAACCGTTACAAGGGCGTGAGGAGGAGAAAGTGGATCAAATGGGTGGCCGAAATACGGCGACCAAACACTCGTGACAGGGTATGGTTGGGTTCGTACGACGCAACCGTGTTTTGCTTACGTGGCGGGGCGGCAATTCTTAATTTTCCAATGAGTCCGCCAGATATTCCGGTGGCAAGTAAGTTGTCGCAGACTAAAATTTAGGAGAAAATATTCGTTACAAATGATATCACCAACTAATAATACTAAAATAAATAAATATATAAAACTCATAAAAATTAGTAATTAACCTATCATATAAACAAATAATTTCTCACCTTCTCATCATGTAAATTCAAGTGGAGTTCATCTTTTTTATTTGAAATTTTATTATTAATAGATGATACCACGTGATCAATAATGACATAATATCACTGTTATATTCAATATTTACTCCAAATTTAAGTTGCAGCATCGAGACACGCCCGTAAGGTATTGACAGAGCCGGAGTCGGAGGTGGGAAAGACAGAGTTGAAGTTGCCCGCGGTGTTTGACTTCGGACTTGGGGGTTCTTGTTCTTCTTTTGGCCAGTTTTCGAGGAGGGAATGTTACTTGGCAGCTAACCACGAGAAGGAAGAGTAAATATTGAATGTAACGATGATATCATGTTATTATTGATGATATGATATCATCTACTTAATAATAAAATTTTCACCAATGTAATTGAAAGACATAATTTGAAGATATAATGAGTTCTATTATAGCATTAATGAATTCACTATTATATCATTTGTGACAATTCATTATATTCTTAAATTATGTCCCAATAACATTGCTTTAAAATTTTAAATGAAAAAAATAAACTTCACTTAGGCTTACATAACAAGAGAGTGAGAAATTACCTGTTTACATGACATGTTAGTTATTGATTTTTATAAATTTTATGTAATTATTTATTTTAGTACTATTAATTAATAATATAACATTACGTTATCCCGTGACATCACCGTTGTAATCAATATTTTTCCGATAAGAAAGAGAGGTGATGCAGAAGTAGATTGTAATATGGGACACCATGTATGTGGACGTTTCAAGGTTTTCTATTTATTTAAATAAATAAATATTTAATTCAACAAATACTCGTATCATGTTATTACTAATTATGCTGATAATCACCCATTAATAATTAATTAATTATATATCATCATGATCATCCACCCCACACATAAGCAACTTCCATTAATTCAAAAATTATTACCAAACATCCACCATCTCCAAGTGAGATTTTATAGGTCCCGTCCCGTCTTTTCAAAGTGATAACGTCAAGAAGCCTCAAGTATAAATATCCGTGCCAGAAGGGGTCTGTTTTGACGCTCTCATGATTTAGCCAATAGAATCCCGAATGGGAAAAATATTTAACCTGGTTTGCATAATAGATGGTAATCAAATATGAAAATAGACCGATTATTATTTAATAATGTTCATTTAAATATTTAGTATGTAATAATAATAATTTATTTTTATTATTAGGGAATAACTAATTTGATTAATACAAAATTTGTTTTTTTCTTTAATATTTGGTGATATTTTCTATTCTTAATTACTATTACTTGTCATTATTATTACCACCACTTGGGTCGGGTTTTGGTCGAGTCTAAATTTTTTTTAAATATTTAAGTGAAAATTATATTTCAACACTTAATTTTAGTAATTTGAATTTTACAAGCTTAAGTTGAGTTTGTTTTTTCAAACAAGTCTAGAAACTTTTTTAAATTTGACTCGTTTTAAAAATAAGTTGAACAACTCGACTATTTTATATATAAACGAATCGAATTTAGTATTATCTGAGTCAAATATAAATAGTTCGACTCGCTTATCAACCCTAATTTCGTTCATCTCTACCTTGATTCCATTCTAAGAGTGATTGCATTATTGGCGTACCAAGTAATGAGGACATTACATCAGAAATAGCATTTAAGGTGGGTGGGGCAACTCTTTCCACTAAATTCTAAATTTTTTTGGGTTTCATGTAAATTTTAAAACTTTTAAAATTATTTAGGATTTGCTCTCGTTAAAAAATTTGTCAAAAAAAATTAGTCACAAATTTGGATATAGGAAAACTAGATTTGATTATGATCCGATATTATTATTGTGTACACACAAATATGTTAATCAAAATTGAATGATTATTTAACTATATTGTGTTAAAATTAAAATACAATTTATCAAAATTCACCTTTGACTTAATTATTTAGAAAGGATTGAGAAGAATACGAATTAAGTTTTTAAATCAAGTTCAATTCTATCCAAATCATCATTCTTAATAGTTGCCCCCATTGTCAAGAATTTTTGACTCTGCTCTTAATATGTATTCCTTGTATGCATGCATGCATGGTGTTATTATCTAATAAGAATATAATATGTAAATAAGTGAATTTTATATATTATAATAATTATTCCGCCTTGTCATTTGGTAATTATTCCTCCTCCATGAATGTATGTATACTAAGTTGGGCTAAAACTTAATAATTCAAAATAGAGAAGAGGAGAGGACACACCAAGTCTACCACCACTAATACAATCTCTCAAAAAACTAAGTAAAATTCAGAAAACTAGACCAACACACCCCTCTTAACTATCAAAAACTAAAAGCAAAATCTAACAAACGGCCTCCACCACAAGCCTCTTCGTAACATCCCCGCAATTTGTTGCACCAAAAACTTCTTCAGAAGCTGTAACTGAGCAGCTCTCTTTTCCAACGCATGCCTAAAACCACCAAAACCAAACATTTTTTCAATAAAATGGCAGGAGAGAGAGAAAAGCAACAATGTGAAAAAAAAACTAGACATACATTCTGGAGGATGGCCAATGCATCATTAGATCCTTCGCAGCTGCCTTTCTCATGTGACCCGCAAGTGCCTCGTACGTCACCGAAACTAGCAAATTGAATAGCCGAAATGGGTCGTCCTTCACAAGATAATTCCATGTCTTTGTTCTCATAAGCATTTCCACAAGCAGTTCCAACCCTAACTGTTTGGAAGTTCACTAAGGATGGATTGCCTCCAAATTCTTCAAACAAAACAAGTTCGTTGTCACCGTCATTTATAAAGGAGCGAGGAACGTGGTACCTGCAAATTTAGGCAAGGTTGTCAATGGATATTAGAGATTTCATGTCATTTCACGATTGTGTTGAACAACTACTTTGGCCCAAGGAAAAAAAAATACTCACCATATCTGTGTAGGTTGACCACAATTTGAGGCACACTTATTACTGTCATAAGGTCCACGATAGTCGCAAGCCTCGGTGGAGCAACCATCCTCTTCTGCAATGTAACTTGGCCAATACCTACCAATACTGTTGCCATTAACCCAAGCATTACCTTTTCCAAGACCTTGCATGTTCAATACTACTGGGTCTTTGCCCAATGGAGCCTTGAAGGTGGTCTGATGCAAACAAATATATTTCAAAAAATCAGTTGTTTTAATACTAAAATCATTAAAAGTTTCCTTTTCTTTTTGGGGAATGTTTTGACATAAAAAAGAACTTTATAAATCCAAGTACCTTGTACCAAGTCATCATCCTATTGGTGGGAAGGTCTTTTGCTTGCCATTGAGAAGCAAAACGCGAGTCTGCACTACTATAAAGTTTATCATCAAGCCCATTCAATCCAACTTTATATGACCATTTGTGTGCTGACAAGTCCTTTACAACGCTCTCATCACCATTCCTTCCAACTATCTCAACCGGACCAGGTAATCCAGTTTCTATCACATCAAAGTATGGCCCATAGTTCTGCTCAAAATCAAAATCAATATTTAAACAAATAATTAAAATACTTTGCAAATAATTGTGGCACATAATCATGAACATGATTCGTATATAATAATACCTGCAAACCAACAGTGGCACTGAGTAGTGTTATCTGATTTCTTCCGGGGTTCAATTTAACCTTATTTTCAAAGACATAGTTGAATATTCCATATTTTGCCCATTGAGAACCTACAGTAATTCAACCGAAGTTTGAAAAAATTAATATTACAACAACAATAGTTAAATTATAACTAATGATTAAATGGACAACACGTTAGATTACCAAGATATTCGCCATTGACATAAGCATGCAGTATGTGACCGGAACCATTCACTCTAATGCTCATATCATCACTCCAAATAGGATCATTCTTGTCAAGGTTAAGACTAGTAATCACCAAATTAACAGTATGACGTAAGTTCAACAAAGATTAAAGGGGCCAAAAAAAAAACAGTAAAGAAAGACAAGAACACGAAAAAAGGGTAAAGCAGAAACCCTGAGTATTATTACCTAGTCATGTACCACATGTAATCACTAACATCATTGATAGACTTTTGGTCCACAAGTTGATTAGCAGAAAGAAGGCCCTTGCCTTGAACGACAGCATCGTCAATGTTCTCAGGCCTCCACACCCAGTTAAGAGCCATTGGTTCACTTTCTGCTTCGTTTGATTTCTTTACCATCACAGAAGTTTGAGTATTGACCTGTATATATCACAAACTATTTTATAAATCTCTTCACAGGTGTGTTTCTTTTACGTAAATTCGGTTAGTATATATATTTGTACCTTGGCTGTATTATAAGTTTCATTCTGACAATCGGGAAGAATACTGACTGACCAAGCTGGAACATTATATTGGTTTCCTTGGAAGCTGATAGTTGCGTCAGTTGTTGTATTGGCATTGCCAAAAAGGCAGCTTGATGTTTCATTTGTTGCATAAATTGTTGCCTTACAAATTCAAAAACAAATAATTCCTATAAATAAAAAATACTTAATTATCAAAAACACAGGTTACGCTTCAAATTTTTATGACGACTTAACTGAAACAGAATTTCCGAAGTCAATGTTGGTGATATTGCCGGAGGTGAGAGTCTTCTCCATTGAATGCAACACATCGTGGAGTTGTTTCAAGTGTCCCCATTTTGGTTGGTTCAAATTACCTAAAGAAATTTTACAACATACATTTTGTTGGTGCTACACGACACGCATATAAGAAATAGGGGTTGAAATTTAAAATTAGTTGAAGTGTAATTCGTAGGTACCAAATTCATCAAGAGGTGCATCATAGTCATATGATGTAGTAATGTATGGACCACCCGATGTTCTGCCGAAGTTAGTTCCACCATGATACTGTAGTAAATAAAACCAACAAAGAGAAAATTTGAAGAAAGTCGTAAAATATTTTTAAAAAAAAAAAAAATTGAAGCTTCGCACTATAAGTTGTTTGTTCAAAAACAAATCAAACACGAACCATGTAATAGTTCTGGAAAGTTCCTCCCGTCTGGAAAAATCGTGCAACAGCAAAAGCAACGTCCTCCGCAGTTCTATGTGGATCTTTTCCATCCCAACTCTTAAACCTAAAACATTAATGAAATTTTCTAATTAAGTTTATATAATTAGTTAATCAATTGTACAAATTAACACATATACAGTACTATAATAAACTAACCATCCAGTCCAGTTTTCTGTCCACATCTTAGGACTGTTGGGATTGTTTGGTGTAAATTGATCGCAGTAAAACCCATTGCAAGTGTTTATCTGTTAAAATACCAATACCCAAAAAAAAAAAAAAAGTTTAGAATTAATCTTTAATGTAATGTAAAGGATCTAAAATTCAGTTTGAAAAGAAATATATGAAAAATACCATTGGCTGTGGTGCATCATCCTGTTGGCACATAATCCACGGAACTCCAATGTCCAAGGACTGAGCCATGTTGGAGCACCAATCAATATAGGCCTTTCCTGCATCTCCATAGGATGAAATTACATTCCCATATTCATTCTCAATCTGTCACAATTAATTTTGAACTGCGTATTAGTTTTTATTAATTAGGAAATATAAAATAATTACAAACAGAAAAATTAATGACTAAACACACCTGAGCAAGAATGATAGGACCTCCTTGTGATGCAAAAAGCTTCTCTTGCTTCACCATATCCACTATCAAGGCTGTGAAGTTTTGCATCTCATTCTGAAAAAAATAATATATATTTATTTGATGTTTTTGTATATATCCTCCACAAAAAATTAACTTTTTAAATGATGAAATTTACTCATAAGTATAATAATTACCATGTACACAGTATTGGCTGTTCGGAGCTCAATCCCTGGCAAATTGTGCAGCCATACAGGAAATCCTCTAAATAAGGAAAAAAAAGTTTTTTTTTTTAAAAAAAAAAAACAAGAATTGCATGCACGAGAAAACATAATAAAATTGATAGTGATGGTAAGAATTTTAGGAGAGAAGGAGAAAAATAAAATATTAATTTACCCATAGTTCCATTCGGCACAAACATAAGGTCCTATCCGAAGAACAGAATATAGTCCTTCGTCTTGAATAGTTTTCAGAAACCTTATAAGATCAAAATTGCCAGTAAAATCATATTGACGGCGTAACGGCTCATGGACATTCCAGAAAACATAAGTCTCAATAGCATCTACCCCACCTTCCTTTGCTTTCCTTATCAAATCGGGCCACATCTGAATACATTTCCAACAAAAACCACATTAATTTTTCTAAAATTCAATACAACTTGAGTACAGTATCTCATCTCCTACCACCGTTAAGAAGCTTTATATCTAAAGAAACAAGATGATATTAAAAATATCGATTATGGGTTCACCTCGCTTGTGCTTCTTGGATAGTGAATAGAACCAGAGATAAGAACTTTACGTTCACCATCAATGGTGATGGCCCTCCCATCATGAGAGACTTCAACAGCATAGGTGTAGGTAGCGAGACTGAAAATCAGTAGTAAACAAAGAAAACACTTCGAAGAACCCATGGTTGTTCTTTAGACCTAACAAAGCATAGGGAACTAAATATTCACCTTCCTCAATCTATATATATAATGCACGAGAACGTAAAACACGGAGTTATGATCTAACCGAAACTCAATCTGATAAAATTTTAAAATTAGATAAGGCTATCAACGTCTATCTATCTATATATATAATGCATGTAAATATAAAACATGGAGTTATGATCAATCAGAAACTCAAATTTCTCGTTCTCTCACCGGGTTAAATTTTAAAATTGGATAAGATGATCAACCCGGCCCTAGGAATAGGCCATTAAGGACGCTGCCTAGGACCCCAATTTAATACATGTATTTAATGCTTAAAAAAAAAATTAAGGTAATTTTACATACGAAAGTGCGAACTTAATAAAAAATCGATACGAAAATAACAAAATTTTGGTGTGTTTGTTAACTCAAATTTAATACTTAAAATAAATGTATTTAGCACTTATTAATTAAACTCGTTTGATAATCAAAATTTAAACTCTCTTAATATGTTAAGTGCTCCTTAAAAATAAGTTATAATATTAAGTATGAGATCCCTTACTTAATTATCTTTAATAATATTTATAATATGACAATTATATTCCGAAATATTTTACAATCCTATTAAAATTTTAATTAGCCTTATCTCCAAAACTCATAACTTATATATTCTCCTTGTTGATCTTTTTTTTTTTTCTTTCCCTGGTCTTTTGTAACAAAAATATAAATACATAATTATAATTACACACACAAACGCACGCACTGCATTCTCACAATTATATACAAACATATGTACATAGTTACACACATGGACTGCACACACACACATGTTGTTAATGAAATTTAATTTATTATATTTTTTTAATATTATTTGATTATTTACTAGTTATTGTTCTTTTTTTTATTAGATGTTATTTTTCACTTATTATGTTATTCAATTTGTTATTGTTCACTTATTGTGTTATTCATATGTTATTTATTTATTTTGATCAAATATTTGTTAAATATAGACTACAATATAATAATAGTGATTATAATTTATATTATGACATACTTTATAAATATTTTCAAATTAAATAATAGAAAGATAAACCTGAAAATTAATTTATTTTCAGACGTCAACTCTGTGTAACTATCAAAAAGTTTAGTTCAATTCAGTACTTAAATTTTAGCGGATATCAAACAGTCCACAAATTCAGGATTCAGCTTTCAACTTTCAGACTTCAATTTTTAGTTTTATCAAATGCCACCTTAGATTTAAACTTAGATACATGTGATTAACAAATGAATTTGATATGTCTCTCAAATAAATAGGTCAATATAAATCTGATTAAACATGAAATAAATTTGCTTTAATACAACTTATATATAATACAAATTCGACTATGCAAGATTATAAATGAAATGGGTATAAATTGTTGTTTTCTTTATCTTTATATTCTATATCTATAATAGTGCATCTACAATGAATGAGAAAACTCCATCCTGGTGGTTTTAAGTTTTAACCGTAGCTAATCTTTTGTTTATGATAAGGATGACAGTTTCGTATTAGCAAATGGAACTCTCATTTTGAAAATACAAAATACCATGCACGTCTCTATCCCCATTATTCAGTTTCACACCTATCTATATCCCAGGATAGATATATCAAAAAAAAAAAAAATCATTAAAGTTTGGACTTGCTGTGTTTGAATTAGAATTAGAATTAGCATTAGCATTTTAAGCTTCAATATTGTTGACAAATTAATGGCACTTTAATTTACATTTTAATTAATTCAAGCTTTTTTCTTATCTTATTAATAATTAATTTAACATATCATTGGTCCAGTATTGATCTCTAATATTACAAGCCTATGAGAGTGAATATAGCATAGCGTATTGGCCTGGGAACGATAACTGTGATGAATTTGCTTGTTATGGATTTTATGAAAAAAAAATATTTTATTGCTATGTTAGTTTGAGGATATTACGTTTTATTAATTTTGATTTCTGATAGAGTGATATTTTAAACTATGAACGGTTCTCACCATATTTATTTATTTATTTATTTATTTTTAAAATGGTATAATAATAATATTATTCTTCAGAACATCTTCATAGTTAACACTTTCCCGTGCATATTTTGGAACTGGACTATTGTATGTTGGACAACTAAACTAAACTAGACTATCCCATATGCGCAACATGGATGGACAAATGCCATTGTCTATGCATCGGACGGACGGACGGACGGACTACTGCTGGTTTTCATATGACTCAACTAAACCAATGTATTTTTATTACCTTTGATTTTTCAGTTTTTATGTAAATATTAAAAATATGAGTTATCTCAACATAACATATAATATTTTACTTTGGTCCTATCCCGTCTTCTTTAGTATAACTTCTTTAATTTTTAGACCCCTTGAAGAAGGGCCGGTCCAACAGTATTTTTGAAAAAGCTTCAACTTTAGATCACATTTTTAAGGAAGATCCTAAATTTTTAAATACCGTCCATATAAAATAATTAAATTTATAAATCCCACACAAAAAGGTCTTACAAAAAATATAAGCCCAATCAAAAACAATTATGTTCAATCATATAGGCCATAGTCCATATTAAATATTTAAAAAATTAAAAAAAAAATTAAAAAGTGAAATTATTACTTTAATCATTCATATTCTCTCTCTCTCTCTCTCTCTCTCTGGGTATAAACCAAAACTAAATGGGAGCCAACTCTCTTTCACTCTCTCTCTCTCACACAGTAAAGCCAATTTCCAAGTCTCCATTGCAACATCTGAACATCGTCGACTTCTGGCTTTCTCTTTCTCTCTGTGCCCGTGGAAGTGGTACAGTGGATACACTGATATAGCAACAAAACAAACAAGTTACCTTCTATTGTTTCATAATTTAATATTTTTTTGTGTTTTAAATTCAAGGTTGTGTTATATATTTTAACTATACTATAGATTGTCTTATTGTGTTTGTTAGAATTTAACAAAAATTTAAATGAAAATTTTGAAAATGAACAAGTATATAATGAAATAAAATAAAAAATATAGAAAAAGAAAATAATGAACTAAAAGATAATAAAATAGAAGATAATGAATAAAAAAAATATTGAAATAGAAAATATTAAAATAAAAGATAATAAAGTAGAAGCTAATGAAATAGAAAATAGTGAAATAAAAGAAAATAATGAAATAAAAAACAATCAAATTCTTAATGAAACAAGTGATTATAGTTATATAAATATTTATGATTCAAGTCAATGAAAAAATATTAATACAAATTTAAGAGATTTATTAGTAGAAAAATAGTCTAATTAGATATAATAAATTAGATTTTTCTCGGGATGAACTCTCTAGGCATTTTTTCACTACACATTACATTCGCAAATTAACAAATGGGAAAACACTTGATAGAAGATGGCTATAATATTCAAAAGATTTGGATAGATGTACAAGTAAACTAGCTAATGAAAGAACAAAAAATTGGAGAAATATTGGTGTTAAGCTTAAAAATTATGAAATAACTAATGATCGTATAACTAATATGAATACTTGAATTGAATTAAAAACAATATTACAACTAAATAATACAATTGATAAAAGTATCCAAAAATAAATTACTTAATATCGACTATGTTATAAAAAAAATTAACTGGATTAACAATACTATCGATTGAAAAAGATATGATACTAAAACTTGAATATAAAAACTTAATTAGTATTTTGTAACTCAAAAAATAAGAAAAATTGATTTTAAATAAAAAATATTAATACTAAACAAAAAATACCTCATTTAGAGGTATCGTTTTAGACCCCAAATTATCTTTAATTGTCCCTACTTTGAAAGAATATTTTATATGATCTTAAAAAGAGTTTCTTATTTAAACTTTTTTTAAGGAACATTCTAGAATACAGGAGAAGTATAAGTGAGACTTAAAATGTTCTTATACATATTAAAAAACTAGATATATGCACAAAAAATTCTAGAGATGCCATAAATTTATAATGTTTAATAATATCATAGTTATGGTAAGACGAAAGAACTATAAGTAGATGAAAGTTTTCATTCATTTGTAAGAACCAAGCAACCAAGAGACAAATAATCAAGTCTTAACTTAAATTTAAGGCCTTATCCGTCTATGTCGAAGTTTTTACTCAATTATTTTTTTGTATAACACACAACAAATATACACATAAAATAGTTAAAAAAATAAAATGTATTTGAGTAATTTACTATTCAAAATCCTACTACCATTCATCATTTGAAAAATTATATTATTATATTATTAAATTTCAATATTTTTCTCAATACTTTTAACTGATAGCAGATTTTATTATATTTTTTTTTATAAAATTAACTTCAATTAATGAAATTATATACGAAAAACTAGAATTCAAAAGCTAAATTTTATTTTGTATCTCAAAAAATAAGAAAAATGTTTTTAAATAATATTATTAATATTTGAATAATTATTTTATTATATTTATATTACTATATTGTATTGTGTTTATTTTTCTTAGCAAGCAAATTAGATCAAATCACAATTGGATGGAATTTAGATATCCAAATTTAAATTTGTAAAATGCGATATAATGAGTTTGAACTTCAAAAATTGACCAAAATATTAATTTATATTTAATTAATCTTGAATTGAATTCATATCAAACATGATTCATTCCCGGATGTGGTGATCCGTTGATAAGCCATCCTAAATTCAAGCCCTTCCCCCGATTACTCGGGCTAACTGGGAGCTTAACCCTTGGACTCCAACACTCCCATCATGATCACTATGGCAATCGATTGAGTCTTATTAAATATTAGTCAATTTTAACTCGAGCCGTTAAGTTTATCATGCAAGAGATTCTGACCCTAACCTAACATATTTATCATTGTCATATTGTGAAATTCAAAATGACCCTTGCATTCCTGGTGGTACATAATAACGGAAAGAGTAAGCCTAGAATATTGTCAACAATAATATTCATACCGCATTACACTAGGATCCGTTCAAGTTAAAGTTGCGGTTCTACCCCCACAGAGAAACTGTAATCGGGATAGGGAATGACTTCAGACAATTCAGTATTCCCAACTGAAAATACATGCGACATAAACCATACAACCACAGGTACTTATGGGACACATCAATCCACGCCCAAAATAAAAGAAAAACCTAAATTCATGACTGCCAAGCGATAACAGATATTTCCATACAATATTACTAGTAGTACATAGGTGGCTGGCTTGTAGCAATGCCTGGAAACCCACCATCGTAGATTGCCTGACTAGCAGCACCAATTCGCTGACCCTGTGGATGCATCAGGGCTTGTGCACCACCCATCCTACTCAATGCCAGCTGGCGTTCATAGGCTGCAAAGTCGGTCACTGAAAGACCTAGCATATGAGTAGCAGCTGGAGGAGGTAGAGGAGTCGAGCTGGTTCCTGGTGGAGTGGGCTTGCTACCCCATGAGCACTGGAATAAAAAATTATTGAACAAGAAGAGTCTGTTAAAAGGACATCACCGAGCTCATTTGAACAACTCAATGCTAGAACTAAGTCCACATACAGCAAGAAGAATTGAAAACCGCATGTATACACCATGGCCATTTTGTCCCCCTTCCATCCCTTCGTAAGTTGAATCCATTGCATTGCACTTTCAAAATGAATATCCTTTACCAAACAACTGTTGACTGGCAAGCCACAATAGTGGATTATTTGACAATTCCAGTCCATATACTTCACTTCGCAAATACAAATTGCATGCTAAGGCCAGTTAAATGGAAGGGATGGGAGGAATGTCACTAAACTAAAGGAAATAGATAATGCAAGCTTTCAACCTTCCTTAACAAGGATGTACAGGGTTAATCAATTAGTCCCTGAATAGCACCAATACAGTTGAAGGGTGAGGACCCAAAATTTAAAGCAGACCATGATGTGCCAGTCATCATGTCCATAAATATTGTCTAACAATGCATGGATACTGAATAGTTCCCATTCTTTTTATGCTCTATATACTGGGAAAGGGATACAAGTGAGGATCAGATTCCTAACTTTGAAGACGACATATTATTTATTGGTAACTTGCAGCAATTTGAACTACCAATTTAAGTAAACAGCTACAATTTATAATCAAGTATACAACAAAAGAGATGAAACCGAAACTAGCACAAATTTGTGGAGCACCAACACTACAGATGCATTATCCATAGACAAACTAAATGCACCAATGCACATAGCCAAACTGCATGGCCCAACCAATTGCATAGATGGCTTGAAAAGATTACATTATTAACTGTCAAAACTGTAGCTCCAAACGAAATAGAGGAAGATATGAAATACGTATCAATGCAGACCATCCACAATGTCGTTAATGAGAAGCTTAAGTCACACAAGATTACCTTAATTGGTTTGCCAAAGAGAATCCGTGCATTTCCCATCTGAATAGCCCGAGCTGCCTCGGCATGGGTGCTGAATCTTACAAAGCCAAACCCTTTATCACGCTGTATCCGGACATCTTCAATGACTCCAACACCAAGAGCATGGAAATGGCGGTGGAGATCAACCGAAGTAACCTGCAATGTGTTTTTTCATGAGAAACAAGGGCATGATCAGGGTGTCACTGGATTCAGGGCCTGATCAAAGATTCCACATACTTCTTATCGATCTGAGAGCAAGAAAAAAAAGGGGGGGGGGGGGGGGGGNCAATTGCATAGATGGCTTGAAAAGATTACATTATTAACTGTCAAAACTGTAGCTCCAAACGAAATAGAGGAAGATATGAAATACGTATCAATGCAGACCATCCACAATGTCGTTAATGAGAAGCTTAAGTCACACAAGATTACCTTAATTGGTTTGCCAAAGAGAATCCGTGCATTTCCCATCTGAATAGCCCGAGCTGCCTCGGCATGGGTGCTGAATCTTACAAAGCCAAACCCTTTATCACGCTGTATCCGGACATCTTCAATGACTCCAACACCAAGAGCATGGAAATGGCGGTGGAGATCAACCGAAGTAACCTGCAATGTGTTTTTTCATGAGAAACAAGGGCATGATCAGGGTGTCACTGGATTCAGGGCCTGATCAAAGATTCCACATACTTCTTATCGATCTGAGAGCAAGAAAAAAAAGGGGGGGGGGGGGTGTGCAAAAGAAACTAATGACTTTACTTCCTCAATTAAGAAAGAAAGAGGGCCAAAAATCCTACTTGTTCTTCAGGTTACACTGGAAATGCCATGAGCACTAATATGGGAAATGGAAATCTAAAAAAGTATTGTATGGAAGGTTGCCAAAAGCACAATTTGAAGACAAAGTCAAGTGATCCCACTCACTGTGTGGATCCACATGACACACGTGGGTATAACTACTAGGTATTAACTCCTAAAATACAAAAACTAATCTGGTGGTCACCACTCACTGTGTCCCACAACAGGGAGGGGACACCAAGATGACTATCCATCATATACAACCAACCAATGAAACAGAACCAGATACATTAGCGGAGGTTTGGAAATGCGGTAAGTGCTCACCTCTGGAGCAAGATTGCCAACATAAACAGTTGTATACTGAGGATTGTTCTCTGGGCCATCATCATTGGTCTTTTCTTGACCATCTTCTGCACAAGGATTACCAGGGGTGTAAGCTTTAAGGTGAAAAGGATATAAATGTCTGAAGATCAAATTTGAAGTAACCCTGTCACAGAGTAATAAGTTGTACACTTTCTTAAGTTTTCTTTATTTTTCTTCATAAAATATTGACCTTTTATCATTAAGCATGGAAGTATGGATATAAGATTAGACATGACTTGTATAAAACTAGGAGTGCATCACCATGCCCAAACATTTCAAATGCACCTCAACGCATTTATATACTTATGGTCACAATTTTGTAAAACCACAAAGAAAAACAATACAACTCCAACTTAATATTTCAAAACAATTTAGTCCCAACCAAACAAGAAACCAGAAAGGAATGAAAAAGAAAGAATGATCACTAGTAAGTTCAAGTTAAAATATTTCCAGACTTCACATATACTGCTAGATTCAGCCATCATAGGTTGGAAGTTCAATTTCATTATAGATCTGACCTGATGTTCCATTTGTTAGTTCCAAAATACTTGTGGAATCTGAATTCTGCTTGTCATCATTAATGCCAGCCCCCTTTGTCGCCCAGTTGCATCGAATTTGTCTGCTTCCAAGCCACTTTCCTATATAGACAAATAAAATATCAGTGGACTTGAGGAACCAAAAAAATTAGAAAGAGTAAATAGAAGAAGTGAAAAAAATAATGTCATGAGAAAGTGAAATGGCAACTCCATAATTTTATGAAGCTCGGTGGCAGTGAAGCCAACTTAGAAGTCGTCACCCAGGGATACCCCCAACAAACAAGAGGGAAAAAATAGCACCAGTAATGATTTCACAATTTCAGTAATTATTTCACAATTAGTAGGTATATATTATATAATCTGCAATCCATACAAAATGATTCTCTCAACCCTCGTGTTCCTCGCACACTCTCAAACCTTTCATGAACCACTCTGCACTAGACCGCCCTTTTTAATATATAAAGCTTTTAAATGTTATTCAGTCATTTAATGAATTATACTTGAATCGAATGGATACATTTTCAGCATGTTTTTGAATGCCCCAAGAGAGAGAGAAAAAAAAAAGGGGGGGGGGGGGGGGGGGGGGGAAGAGAGAACAACAGTGGTAGTCCTTTTGCCTCCTTTACAGAGCTAAGTAAGAAAGAGTTACAGACAGTAGCACTTCTAATAAACTGTTGGAAATAAAACAGAATCTCAATTAAGCAAGAAACAAAATTAGAACAAAAATACAATGAAACAACGAAACTTTCCTCACCATTCAAATCATTTATTGCACTCTGGGCCTCCTGGGCAAAGAAAACATGAAGATAACAGAATCATAATGTGAAAAAGGGCCAATAAAAGGAGAATATACATGTACTAATCAGAAAGAGGAAGGAAATCATCAAAAGTTAGGTAGGATAAGACCAATTCAGTACCTGTTGATTTCGAAAAGAAACAAATCCAAAGCCCCTTGAACGACCAGTCTTTTGATCCCACATAACCCTTGCATCTCTGCAACCAAAAGTGCATAGCTCAAGTTTAGAGTCTTCCCAGCAATAATTTACATCAAAAGGTACAAGTACGACAAAAAGCGAACCAGGAAATGGGGCTTACGAGCAACTAGGATACACGGAAAAGCAAGCAAACAATGTGGCATCTGTAACCTCGGGACTAAGATCACCAACAAAAATGTTGAAGTGACCTAAAAGAGAAGAAGAACACAGCATGAGCTACCAACAAATCAATGAAAGCATCACTGGATAAATTTTTCGGGCGGACGAAATGAGACAAACATGTGCAAATACGAATAGACCTGATGTATCCTCTCTTTGAGAACTGGCATATGCCCAGTTAACTTTAATAGGTTGGCCAAACCTGCAAACAACAGTTTTAGATATACGGCCAACCAATATGTCAAACAACTCAAAAGATTTCCACTTACAGATGCCTTCCATTCAGAGAGACGATCGAAAGGGCAGCAGATCTGCGATCAAAGTAGTCCACAAAACCATAGGAAGACTGCATATCAGGAAACAAAACACCTCACTGTCAAAGCGATAAGATGCCATTTCATTTTTTCCTTCCTCCCAACCCACTTTGCTAGTCCGATTTTCCCTTTTTAGATGTCTTCACATTTTAAACTAATGCACAAGCCTTTTCAATTTTTTTGTGCAGTTCAAGTAGCCGATAAAAGTAGCAGCTTGAATTAGGTGAGTTAATATTTTCCAACCACAGGTTTGGAAAGAGAAAGCTGACCAGCCCCTTAAAATTTCACGTTGCACTCAGCTTAGCGTAAAAAATAAAATATATTTAAAGCCAACCAAACTGCAGCCCAACTTTTAGATGCCCACCATAGTTGGGTTTTGCAGAATTAATGTGCAATTTTTTTAGTTTCCAGACTTGACCTTGATTGCTGATTTATTTCATACTTTTATGCATGGAGAATGGGAGAATGGGAGAGGACAGAGTTCCCATATACTACACGTGTGTGAAAAGTTCGAATTTCTAAAATAGACTAACAATATGGGAAGGACAGAGTATATAAACATAAAGTAACTTATCATTAGAGTCTAAAACGGATCACATGCCACAATCATTACTTCTCCAACACAAGAAATAATATGGAAACTTCTCCATAGTCTTCAGTTGATAGAGTTGGATGAGCTTTTCTAACGGCATCAGTAGATGCAGTGGAAGACAAAGTTGGGAAACTAGCATAAAACAGACCTTCTCTTTTCGAATGAGTTTGCATCCCTCGAGGGGACCTGTACTCGAAAAAATCTCTTGAAGAAGCAGTTCCGTAACCTGTGGGTGGATGTTTCCGACGTACCTGCATTATAAACGGAGTACAAAATCACCCAGTGATCATGATAATAATTGCATTTTGACTTGGAAGCTTGGCACATAATAATCTATAGAGGAAACATGCATCGCACATCATACATAGACCCGTGACAAAGACAATATAAGAATGCAAATCTACAATATGGAGGAATTTGGAAAACAAGAATTTTCTATTTGTCTATAGGCATAAAGTTTGATGCTTGCAGATATCCAATGGCATGAAGATAGATAATGGTACAGGAAAATCCAAAGAATATTGATCTAGACAGCATCTATATTCTCTATCAGAGACGTTGCCCTCACATGAAAGAAAGAACAAAATAAAAGAGAAAAAAGAAAACAAAATGTATGTAAGTCACTCACACGCTGCGGCATGTACTTGAATCAAATCCAGGAGGAAGATTTCCACTCAAGATAGGCTCTATCTGCAAATTTAAAATGAAAAGAAAAAAAGTAAAGAAAAAAAAATTCCCAACATAAAATATCTACACCCACTATAAAATTTGGAAGTCACAGATCAAATATGTTACAAAGGAGGGGGACCCCTCACTTGATCTTGAACGCTGCATCTAAGTACCTAACCTATTAAAGTAACACAATAAGAAGCCCAATCTCTCGTTTCCCTTTATAAAACAAACTTCCAGGATGATGGATACATGTAGGCCATATTTTTTAATCTCTTATTTTCTCACTATGTTGTTTGTTTCCTGTTTACCAGCAGCAAGTTGTGCATGAAATGCGGGAAAATGAGGGGCAACAATAGTGCACAAGTTCTCATCCAGGTAGTTAAACGAACCAAACCAGCCATCAAAAGTTGGAAGGGAACACTTGAACACAGTATGCAAAACAAGCCCACCATTTTATGATAATTACGCCTAAAAACAATGCCTGCCCATCCTAAATGCCCATACAATTACCAAGCAATCATTCTGAAAAGTGGAAAGCAACATTTTTGTAAAATTCTTCGGTCTCTAATTAAGGTGTTTAACGGCCAAAAAAAAAAAACCAAAAATAATGCAAAACCAGCAAGCCGAAAAGGGATTCAATTCCTTAACATAGAAAGGAAAACCTCAAATGGAGCCTTTAATTTGAATACCAGAACTCCTTAAAACAACATTCACGCAGGTACACACATGCATGCTCAGAAACACTCCAATAATACAAAAGGAGGCAATTGTGTTTCATTTATCACCTATAAAATGAAGTACTTATAAGGACCAGCAACACATTCTTGGAACCATATTTACCCAGAACGACAAAGCCAGATTGCGCATGAATAAAAGGAAAAGATAAATGAGTATTCATTCAAAGTTTGATGTGTCTAAGAAGCTTAAAGCTTGATACAACAAAGCCCAATCCAATAGCTGTAGCCAGCTCAGTTTAGCAGATAGTCCTGTTTTCTCAGATCACAGATTAAGAACGATCAAATTTTAATTTCAATTTCTTCTTTTCCCCCACATTTTTCGCGCATCGAAGAATAAAATAAAGAAAGGAAACTAAATAAATAAAAAAGAAGCAAAAACATAAAGGAAAAATGGAAGAAATTGAAGGAAGACCTGAGGAGCAGCTAAGAGACCAGGGTGGTAGAGAGATTGCTGCATCAATGCTTGTTGCTGCTTCAGCCTCTGCTGCTGCATCTTTTTCTAATTAATATTTTCCGATAATAAAATAAAAATACAGGCAAATAGGGAGAGAGAGAGAGAGTTTCTAGGGTTTTAATTGGAGGAGGTAGGAAGAGGAAAGAAGAAAAATAAAGAAAAAAGAAAAAAAAACCCTCGACCGAGAGGGGACGGTCGAAAAGATGATGTGTTCCTCGCTTGCTCTCATGTTAGGAATGAAGACATTTTTTATCTGCTACACCCGTTTTATTTTTTGAGAACACGTACAGCCGTTAACAACCGTCAGATTTCCTCAATTTGTTTGATCAACTTTGATTTCTGCAACATCTTATGAGATTGGGTATTTTACTTGTTCAGTTATTGATTCAATTGGCATTGAAATTGACATAAAAAAAATATTTTGTCTATGAAGAAGGATTCTCCAAATACAAGATGATAAAAAATATAAAATATTTCATAGAATCCATTTCGGGATTAAATCTCGTAGTGACAAAACCGAACTTATTCTGTATTACCCACCACACTGTTTAATTTTACCATTACTATTACTTACCAAAAGATAGTTTTATTGTCAGTCAACTCCTTGTGATTACTTTTTTTTTTTTTTAAATTGAGTTGGTATTTTCATTTTTTTTTATATTTCACCATCTTTCTTGAATGTGAATTTCTGAGGGTTTTTTGGTGATCGGTGAGATCTAGTTTTTTTTTTTTTTTTGACTTAAAAAAAAAAAAGAAAAATGCAATTTTAAAAGATGATTGAAAAAAAGATCCAGTTTGATTTGATGCAATTTGAAAAGATGATTAAATGAAGGAAACATAACTAAGTATGAATGGCCCAAAAAAATTCTTAATGAGGCCCAACTCATTAAGAATTCAAGGCATGGGCCTTTGCTGGGGCTTCTACAACCACACTTCGCTAACTAAGTATATGAGAAATGTAGAACAATAGACGAGTGAAGCACCCCAACTCATTAATACTTCCATAGTTAGTAAGAAAAATGACAAATAAGAAATCATCACGTATGATTGTTACTATTACACAATGGCCATTAAAATTTCAGCATTCTAAAACTCTCTGCTAGTCTAGTTTGTGTGTTTATATCTCAGTGTTGTTTTTGAAGATTCTATCACGAAAAAAATTGGGAGACAAGCAATCACATTTAATGACAAGTAAAAATTGTTCATAGTGTTTTGTAGCGCCATTAACGTTCTCAAGAATGGGAAGTCCCAAAAATAAGTTTAATGCACATGTTTAAAACTAGACTAGCAAATTCTTCATGTTGGGTTTGGGTCAAATTCTATCTTTCACCCATTGCTGGTTAACTTCTTATCCAGGGTCAAAAATTACTATTATTTTTCTTACATGTTTTTTGATTTAGAACCGATGCCCTTCCTATTTAAGTATTATACCATATATTATTTTAAGCACTTACACAATGTTCTTTTAGAGAAAATAATGAAAATAAAATTCACAGCATATTTTAGACTTGTGAAGCACACTCTTTCTTAATTTAGATAATAAAAATAACTATTTTTTTTAGTACATAACTAGACGAGGGTTACATGCATAATTTTATACGTCAAATAAATAAGGTGTTTCTATCATGACCAACAACGAGAATCCTTTAAGTCTACTCAACACAGTTTTTTATTTTTTCTTCTCCCCTTGGAGTTCTCCTTTTCTTTTTATTTAGGATAAATTATATTTACGTCCCCTAACATCTGACTAAATAACACAAAACCCCCTGACATTTATAAAATAACATGACGACCCGTTATCGGCTTCGATAGGTGATCGGCATTAAGAGAAGTGATAAAATGATTTTTTTAACACTTTAATTTAATTAAAATAAGTACATCTTTACTAATAAGATAGGACTCATTTTGAATCTTTTTCTACTTTAAAATTTAATTTATTTGGAAAAGCATTATTACTAATAAGATAGGACTCATTTTGAATCTTTTTCTACTTTAAAATTTAATTTATTTGGAAAAGCATAAGAACGGCTCAGATTAAATCTACTTTTAATTCAAAGGCCCACATTTTCATCTCATTTCTTCCATTTCAATCCAATGGCTTGCAATGCATCTCAACCCAAAAAAAAAATCCCGCCCATTTTAAACCCAAACACACGCCTACAGTTACTCTGCCTCAAATACTCTCTGCCTCAAATCAAACCCATTCCCCTACACACCCAAATCAAACCCACCCCTACAGCTACACTCTGTCTCCCGCCATGCCTCACCCATTTCCCTACATACCCATTTCCTCTGCCATGCCTCACCCCAGACAGCAACCCAGACCCCTTACCCCTCTACCCACACCCTTCTCACAACGGCTCAGCAGCAGCGCACAGTGGCGATCAACACAGCAGCGGCACACAGTGGCGATCAACATAGCAGCGACACCAACGGCGTTCAACACAGCGGCACACAGCGGCTCACCAAGCTCAGNGATTGAAAAAAAGATCCAGTTTGATTTGATGCAATTTGAAAAGATGATTAAATGAAGGAAACATAACTAAGTATGAATGGCCCAAAAAAATTCTTAATGAGGCCCAACTCATTAAGAATTCAAGGCATGGGCCTTTGCTGGGGCTTCTACAACCACACTTCGCTAACTAAGTATATGAGAAATGTAGAACAATAGACGAGTGAAGCACCCCAACTCATTAATACTTCCATAGTTAGTAAGAAAAATGACAAATAAGAAATCATCACGTATGATTGTTACTATTACACAATGGCCATTAAAATTTCAGCATTCTAAAACTCTCTGCTAGTCTAGTTTGTGTGTTTATATCTCAGTGTTGTTTTTGAAGATTCTATCACGAAAAAAATTGGGAGACAAGCAATCACATTTAATGACAAGTAAAAATTGTTCATAGTGTTTTGTAGCGCCATTAACGTTCTCAAGAATGGGAAGTCCCAAAAATAAGTTTAATGCACATGTTTAAAACTAGACTAGCAAATTCTTCATGTTGGGTTTGGGTCAAATTCTATCTTTCACCCATTGCTGGTTAACTTCTTATCCAGGGTCAAAAATTACTATTATTTTTCTTACATGTTTTTTGATTTAGAACCGATGCCCTTCCTATTTAAGTATTATACCATATATTATTTTAAGCACTTACACAATGTTCTTTTAGAGAAAATAATGAAAATAAAATTCACAGCATATTTTAGACTTGTGAAGCACACTCTTTCTTAATTTAGATAATAAAAATAACTATTTTTTTTAGTACATAACTAGACGAGGGTTACATGCATAATTTTATACGTCAAATAAATAAGGTGTTTCTATCATGACCAACAACGAGAATCCTTTAAGTCTACTCAACACAGTTTTTTATTTTTTCTTCTCCCCTTGGAGTTCTCCTTTTCTTTTTATTTAGGATAAATTATATTTACGTCCCCTAACATCTGACTAAATAACACAAAACCCCCTGACATTTATAAAATAACATGACGACCCGTTATCGGCTTCGATAGGTGATCGGCATTAAGAGAAGTGATAAAATGATTTTTTTAACACTTTAATTTAATTAAAATAAGTACATCTTTACTAATAAGATAGGACTCATTTTGAATCTTTTTCTACTTTAAAATTTAATTTATTTGGAAAAGCATTATTACTAATAAGATAGGACTCATTTTGAATCTTTTTCTACTTTAAAATTTAATTTATTTGGAAAAGCATAAGAACGGCTCAGATTAAATCTACTTTTAATTCAAAGGCCCACATTTTCATCTCATTTCTTCCATTTCAATCCAATGGCTTGCAATGCATCTCAACCCAAAAAAAAAATCCCGCCCATTTTAAACCCAAACACACGCCTACAGTTACTCTGCCTCAAATACTCTCTGCCTCAAATCAAACCCATTCCCCTACACACCCAAATCAAACCCACCCCTACAGCTACACTCTGTCTCCCGCCATGCCTCACCCATTTCCCTACATACCCATTTCCTCTGCCATGCCTCACCCCAGACAGCAACCCAGACCCCTTACCCCTCTACCCACACCCTTCTCACAACGGCTCAGCAGCAGCGACACCGGCTCAGCAGCGGCACACAGTGGCGATCAACACAGCAGCGACACCAACGGCGTTCAACACAGCGGCACACAGCGGCTCACCAAGCTCAGCCCAGGTACCTCCCTCTCCCCCTTTCACGACCTGAAGTGGCCTGCCCAGGTATACCCACCTCTCTCTCTATCTCTCTCTCCCTCTCCCTCTTTCACGACCCACAACAAATTAAACATACCCACCTCTCTCTCTAGCTGAAGTCGAAAATGATCATTTCTGCTAAAAGATAGCGTCATACAAAACAAAATTCTTAGATTGGAAAACAAAATCAATATTTAGTCCCCATCAATAACCATTTTGATTGCAGAAAGCTACAGAAACCGAATTGAGTTTTTGCATTTTCTAGAAAGGAGAAAAGAGGCATCCAGTATAGGAAAGACCTTGACCTCAGAAGGAAACAAAACTCAGGGGTCCCAACCATAATTTCTAAACTTCAACACATTATAAGCTAAATCAAAGTGTAAATCAATTAAAATTTAGTGAACTAATCAATTAAAATTCAACACATTATACCCAAAAAAAAAATAGGCAGAGTACACAAAATTTCTCTCGATCATTCCAACAAACAATTGGTGTGGGTGGGTCTGTTTGTGATGTGTGTGTGGGTGAGTGGGTGAGTGGGTGTGGGTGTTTGTTTCTGGGTGAGTGGGTGAGTGGGTGTGAGTGTGTGTGATGTGGGTGCGTGTATACTGGGTCTGTGTTGGGTGTGTGTGCTGGGTTTGTTTGTGTGTGTGCGATTTGTGTGTGGGTGGTGAGTATGTATGTGTGTATTGTGCGCTGTGGGTGTGCGTGTGCAATGTGATTGTGTGTGAGCGAGAGAAGTGTTGGGTGATGTTGAGTAGAAGAGGGCAGAGAAGATATGGGGGTAGGATGGGGGTTAGTGTGTGCTTGTGTGTGTGTGTGAGAAAGAGAGAGAGAC